CAATCATTCAAGCAAACCTTAGAACTTTTTCAAGAAAGATTCGCAACAATTTTTTGAAGTTATTTTGAAAATCTTTCTTGAGGCATATTGCTTTTCTTTGAAGAAGAAACTCACTGCAGAATTGTATAGACTGGTTTGATCTTTCTAGTTTCTTCTTTGTCAATTCTTTTTCATTCTTTTGTATTGTGTTGTGCCTGGAATTTGGGCACAAGTTTCTCTGCAGCTGGAAGTTGGTTGCGGAGGTTATCAAGAGCTGGAATTTGGTTCTTGGTGGAGAGGTTGAGTACAGGAACTGGAATTTGGTTCTTGTACTGTGTGGTGCCTGGAATTTGGGCACTGGTTTCTCTGCAACTGGAATTTGGTTGTAGAGGTTATCAAGAACTGGAATTTGGTTCTTGGTGGAGAGGTTGAGTACAGGAACTGGAATTTGGTTCTTGTACTGTGTGGTGCCTGGAATTTGGGCACTGGTTTCTCTGCAACTGGAATTTGGTTGTAGAGGTTATCAAGAACTGGAATTTGGTTCTTGGTGGAGAGGTTGAGTACAGGAACTGGAATTTGGTTCTTGTACTGTGTGGTGCCTGGAATTTGGGTACTGGTTTCTCTGCAGCTGGAATTTGGTTGCAGAGGTTATCAAGAGCTGGAATTTGGTTCTTGGTGGAGAGGTTAAGTGCAGGAACTGGAATTTGGTTCTTGTGTTAGATTAGGTGTAAGATTGTTGAATCTGTAAAACATTTAATCTAGTGGAACCCAGCTGGAATTTGGCTGGAGACTGGACGTAGCCCTGGTATTGGGTGAACCAGTATAAAATACCGGTGAAATCTTTCTTAACCTTTCTCTCTTTAAATTCAGTTGCTGCGCTTATTTTGATTGATTGCTTTGTGATTCAAGAATAGATTAGTAAACTTAATTTTCGAATTAGATAATCTGTGATTTGCGAAAAACTATCAAAGATCAATTCACCCCCCCTCTTGATCTAAAACTACTTTTCTAACAGAATCAAGTTAACCAGAAGGGAAAGATTTTTGCTCATCCAATTATAAAGAAAGAGTCTAAGTGTTTATTCTATAAAAAGAAAGGACACATGAAGAAAGATTGTGCAAAATTTTAGAATTGGTTAGAATTTTTTTTACTCTTGTATGTTATGAATCTAATGTGACTAGTATTAGTCATGACACATGGTGAATTGATTCTGGATCTACAATTCATGTTTGTAATATCTTGTAGGGTATGCAGAACCTGAGGAGACTAGTGGAAAGTGAGTAATACATCTATTCAGGAAGCAAGATGAGTTCACATGTGGAGACAATGCAAGTTAATCTTAAGTAGTGGTTTCATTTTATGTTTGGAAAAGACCTTTTATGCTCCTAGTTTTTGTAAAAATTTGATTTCTATTTCACAACTTGTACCTTTGAGATTTTCATTCAATTTTATAAACTGTAGTTTTACTTTATTAAATCAATCAAAGGTTTTGGTCAATTATGAGATGGACTTTACTCCATTGATTTACAAAATGACGTTACTTATAATTCTATGCATGTTTCTTCTGGATTAAAACGATGTATTGTGAATGAGGATTCCTCTATGTTGTGGCACTGTGTTAGACCAATGACATCTAGAGGGGGGGTGAATAGATGCACAAATTAAAAATTTATTTGTGAGTCAATAATTTGTTTGAATACAGATAAAGCGGAAGCAATAATATAATTAGGAAAAGAGAAAGAGATAAGGGAAAGAGAAGAGCACACAGAGATTTATACTGATTCGGGTATAGTCAACCCTACATCCAGTTTCTAGTCAACTCTTAACACAAGAGTGACTCCCCATTCACTATCTTTCAAATTCAGTTTACAAATTACAATCAACTTAGCAGAAGAACCAGTAAAAAGTAAACTAATTAAAAAGACAATCACCTCCTTAGAAACCCACTAAGGATGAACACCTCCCTAGAATCCCACTAGGGATGAACACCTCCTCTGAACCAATCAAAGGATGAAAACACCTCCTTACAATCTCACTAAGGATGAACACCTCCCTAGAATCATACTAGGGAAAAAACACCTCCTTTTCACCAATACAAAAAGGATGAAGGTAATAAAAATAAGAACAGACACACCTGGGTAATAGAGACAACAAATTGTAGAAGCCTGTAGAATGTCAATCTCTAAGAACAAGTGTGATTAATAATGAAAGCACAAAAGGCAGTAGAGAAGAGGGTTTTCTCAAAAGGTGTAAAATATCTTTGTTGCCTTGCTCAGAATTCTTTTCTCAAAACTGATTGAATGTAAATTGTATTTTCGAATTCTGTAATTGTGTGTTTTTTATTTTTCATCAAAACTTAATTAAATAGAAAAATAACATCAGAAAATGGCCGTTGGACATTAATAATATCATAGAGAAAATCAGGATGTATTAAAAAACATTTATTCTTTAAAACGGATATATTTTTCAAATTTGAATTGTCATAATTGATTATACTACCAGTATAATCAATTATGACAAAGAAAATCATTTTTCCATTTCTGATGCATCATAATTGATTATGACAGAGAAAAATATCATGTTATGAATTTTATCACATTTGTGGTTTGGAGGCTTATGCATAATATTACTTCATCAATTTGTACCTCCATATTCAGTATTCTAAAACTCTATCTAGTCTTCAAGAATCATCTTGGGCATGTAGGGAAATGTTTCACATTTTCACCAACTTCATAAATTCAGCTTGTCCTTAATTCATCTTGAATGGTGTTGACTTGAATGTAGTTGACTTGAATCATCATCAAAATCACCTCTTGGGAATGTAGGGACATTTCCATCAATCTCCTCCTCATTGCTTTCACACCGGAGATTGAAATATATCTCCATTGAAAGAATTAAACGATTAGTGAATGATGGAGTATTTAGTACTTTAGATTTTACCGATTTTGAAACTTATGTGGATTGCATTAAGAGTAAGCAAACTAACAAGTCCAAAAAGGGTGCTAAGAGGAGTTCAAATTTACTAGAAATCATTCATACATATATTTGTTGTCCAAATATGGATGCAAGTAATCCAAGATACTTCATCACCTTTATAGATGATTACTCGCGATATATGTATCTCTACTTAATTCGTTCTAAGGATGAAGCTTTGGATCCCTTCAAAATTTTTAAGGCTGAAGTAGAGTTACAATGTGAAAAATAAATTAAGAGTATGATATCAGATAGAGGAAGAAAGTATTATGGTAGATACACGGAGAGTGGACAAACACCTGGTCCATTTGCGAAATTTCTTCAATAGCATGGGATCATTGCCCAATACACTATGTCTAGTTCTCCGGATCATAATGGTATGAGAGAAAGAAGAAATCGAACTTTAATGAATATGGTGACGTGCATGAGGAGTAATGCAAAACATCCTCAATTCTTGTGGACTGAAGCACTTAGACGGTTATGTATATAGTAAATCAAGTTCCAACTAAGGTTGTCTTAAATACACCTTTTGAGTTATTCAAAGGTTGGAAACCTAGTTTATACATATATGCGTTTGAGGATGTCCATCTAAAGTAAGGATTTATAACCCACAAGAAAATAAACTAGATCCTAAGACTATTAGTGGTATTTCATTGGATATGCTGAAAGGTCCAAAGGGTATAGATTTTATTGTCCATCTCATAGCACTAGAATTGTGAAATCAAGAAATGCAAAATTTCTTGAAAATGAATTGATTAGTGGGAGTGATTCAATTCGAGATATCAATTTTGAAAATAATCATTATAAAGTTCAACCCTCTCAATCAAATGATAAATTTGTTAGTCATTCACTCTCCTCCAGTTCAAGAGCGTGTTAGACAAGTAGTTACTCAAGTTTCACAAGTAGTTGAAGATGATAATGTAGATTCAATTGTCGATGTGGAACAACAAGTAGATGTTAGTTGAGTAACTTGGTTGAACAACAAGTTTCTCATCAAAGTAATAAGAGAACATTAAGAAGTTCTACAAGAATCAAAAGTTTAATTATTTCTAGTGATTAGAAAGTGTATTTACAAGAATCAGATTATAACATTAGAGCTGAAAATGATCCTGAAACGTTTTCACAATTAATGAATTCTAAGGAATCAAATTTGTGGTATAATGCTATAAAAAATAAAATCAATTTAATCAAGTTTGGGATATTGTTGGGTTACCTAATTATCAATTAATTTTTTATAATAAAATAAATTTTAAATTAAGATCTTTAATTAAGATATTTTTAATAATGTATACTTTGAAATGTAATTATAAAATATTATTTATTATAAAATTATATTTTTAAAGTATTTAAATTATTTGAATTAATAATATAATAATATATTAAAAAATAAAATATTGAATCATTAAATTAGTTATTTGATTTTTATAATTGATATTTTGTTTTGTCTTATGTTGAACATGGCTTTATTCCTTTCTCCACATGCTCTTGGAAAAGAGAATTTTGAAAAATAACACAACATTTTATTATTATTATTATTATTATTATTATTATTATTATTATTATTATTATTATTATTATTATTATTACTCTTTTCTTCACGTAAAAAATAATTTGTTTAGATTTAGTAAAAATTAACATATTTTTTGTAATTTTCTTTACTATCAAACAAAGAATATATTTTTTTTTCATATTTTCTACGCTAACCATTTTTTAATATATATATATATATATTGTCAAACGTTGAAACGGTATATTTGAAAATGTTGCTTTTTTGTTTTAATCAAACTCTACCATAGAAAAATAAATATGATTAATTTAACATTTATACCAATTTTTACATGGATTTAATATAAAATTTGTAAGTAAGAATAATTCTTTTATTTAATTATTTTTAATTATTTTAAAACAAGTAGATAATGTATTCACTATTTTTTTAATAAAAATAATAAATTCTTTTATTTAATCACATGATGACATATCACAATATAATTTTCGTTACAAAATTAACATAAGAAAAACACATATAGAAGATGTTTCTTTTTTTTTTCTCAATATGCAATGCCAAAATGTCGTCTTCCACCACCACCACTACTGGCATGGCCACCTCCAATGCCAGGATTGCCACCACCTCCAATGCCAGTACCAATGCCAACACCACTTCCTATCCCAATACCAATTCCTTGCCCACTACCACCATGAGGCCCACCACTCCCACTTCCTGAACCTACTCCAACTCCGGTCCCACCACCACCTCTACCAGTTCCAGTCCCACCACCACCTCCAACACCAATAGAAGGTGTTGGAGGAGTGGGAGATGGTGGTGTGAGAGATATTGGAGGAATGGGAACATAAGGTGATGGTGAAACTGGGGGTGATGGTGGTGGTTCTGACGGCGAAGTTGAGGGTGGAGGTATCAAAGTTGGTGGCGAAGTTGAGGGTGGAGGTGTCAAAGGTGATGGTGAAGTTGGGGTTGGGGGTGTCAAAGGTGATGATGGTGGTGGAGGTGTCAAAGACGACGGTGGTTCTAAAGGTGAAGTTGGGGGTGAAGGTGTCAATGGTGATGATGGTGGTTCGAAAGACACAAGTGGAGGAGGAGGTATAAAAGGTGATGATGGCCAAATTGGTGGTGGAATAGGTATTAATGACGGTGGTGGTGGTGGTGGTTGTTCGTAAGAGTAACCTGGGGGTAGAAATGGAATTGGTGGAAATGGTGATTGTGCCCTCAGAGTGGAACTTGCAAAGAAAAACGAGAATGCTAAGAATATGAATACAAGTGGAGCCATGTTTTTGTCCGTAATTTATTCAAGTGTAAGGAAAAAAATACGCTGATTGAAGCTTCATTATATATCGGTTTCATAAGCGGTGGTTATGACCATACTTTTGGTTTTACACTAAATACAGATTAAGTGGAACACCAAGTTTTGTGTTTCATCCAATTATACACTTGAAGCCATTTATTAGAGTCTTTTCTCATCAATTATTCAATCCATAATTTCAGACTTTGCACCGCATTTGGATATTGTTCTTTTTCGATAATATAAAAATGATTATTTCAATTTATCATTTACTTTTTTTTTTATTACACTTAGTTTTCCATTTCTTTTTTAATTTTTACACCCCTAAATTTTCAATCTTGATCCTTATGCTAGTAAATTGTATTTATAATTTAATTTTTATTGATGATCGTTGTTGATTTTAAATTGTCATAAAGTGGATTTATAATGAATAAAACATTAAAATTTAATTAGTTAATTATACTTTTATCTTCAATTAGTTTATGTGTAAGAAAAATTCAATGTTTTATCTCTTTCAATTTTAATGTTTATAAAAAAAATTAATAGTTATAGACAACCTTATATCATAATTTAAATTATTTAACGTAAATTAAATATAATTTATATATTAACGTGAGTACTTTGAGTGTCGTGTTTGTTATCTTTTCAATAGTTTCGTGCCAAGGTTTGACTAATAAAATTGTCAGTTAATTGACAATTACATAAAATTAGTAATATTTTGAAAAGTGCGGGATGAAATGAGTAAAATAATAAAAGTTGGAGCAAAAGTCACAAGAAAATGAAAAACTGAGATTAAAAAGTGTAATAATTAAGCTAAAATAATACCTTTACAAAATCTAAAATATTGAATTTTTCATGTAAAAAAATTAAAATACAAAGTATGAATTAAACCTAAATTATTCTTGTTCCCGGTCGACTAAGCTTGTGATAGAGCCAATGGCCCAAATGATACAGGCCCATGTTCGGCAATGGGTTTCCAAAGGTTAGGCAATCATTTTTTTCACCTCTATAATTTCCTTTTGCACCGCTGCATTACCATAGAATAATCCATTCCAAAATATTTTTTAGACTGTCTCCGAAATGTCTAATCCCTAAAATTGTTAATATATTTAAAAGGGTATTTTTGAAAAAGTGTAAAGATTTTTAAAACGATAGTAAGGTGCAAAAAGTAAAAGCCCAATGGTTAAATTTTGATGGATTTGATAGCCTTAGTTCAAGGCCCAAATGTTAACTAAAGAGGGAACTTTTTTTCGCACCTCCATATCTAACTAAAATAACTAAAATATCTTTTGTTTCACACCTTAATCCCTTCTTCCATTTTCCTGTAAATGGTCTACACCTTCATTGTTCATCTTCAACACCTTCATATATCTGAGATTTAATTTTATGTATATATTACATGTTGTTGTACTAAAACATCATCGAGATCCAGATTGTTCAATCTGAAACCATTTTTTGGATTAATTTAAAAAAAAAAAAACGTATTCTAAAACACTTATTCTAGAAAAAAATTAATCCAAAAATACATTATAAAAAAAAATTTCAGAAATATATTCTAGAAAATGAGTTTCAAAATATATTTCTTGAATTGATTTTCTAAAAATAATGTATTTCAGATTGATAGGTCCATACTACACTTCTAGTTTAGAATGCATATTTTATAATTTTTGGAATAATAGGAGAAGAAAGAATGAAAATTCTTTATTAAAATTTAACATTTAGATATTCAAAGGTTAAAAAATTAGAAATAAAGATATTAAAAATATATATAAAAGTAAAATAAAATTTAATTTAATTATGGAATAGAGGAAGAAAATATGTTGTATAGGAAGTTGCCTTAACGAGGCCACTGCGATGGCAGGATTTCATCTCGTATGAATTTTTTGCCGTGCTCTGTGTGAACTAATAATAATAAATATTGATTTGTAATTAAATTTCTTATAAAACCTTTTCGTCTTTTTATTTTTTATTTCGCGAGTATAATTTTATTTTTAAATATTCAATTTCGATCTAAGATACACCTTCTATCTTTTATTTTATTTTTTACATTTTATAATCACTTAAATCATTTTCCAGTGTCACTTTGAATGAATAATGATAAGCTATGATTTAATTTATAAATTAATTTTTTTATTTTTAAAAATATGTTTGGAGATTAATTTTAATTTTTTCCAAAATAAAATTGTTTGGTACTTTTGATTGTATGATGTGGATGGTCATGAAAAGTCTTGATAAAAGTTAAAAAATAATTTTGATAATTTTAGGGTGATAAAAATGAAAATTTTAAGATAATTATTAATAAAATGTTGATACTTGATAATAAAAATAGAATATATATATATATATATATATATATATATATTAATTTTGATTCTTATAAGTTTTTAAAAACTAAAAACCTAAATAATTTTTTAAAATTATTTCCGTAAAATAGTTATTAAACAAATTTTTAAAATTCTAAAATTAAAAAGTCATTTTTTTTAAAAGTAAATAAATAATTCTAAATCTACAAAGCAAATTTAGTAATTTATATATGATAGAATATTGCATTATTAGACAATGAGGTAGATGAGTGGAGAGATTAATGTATATAACTTTTTTTAAGGTGATAATAATATATTTTTTAATAAATATTTAAAGAAAATAATTTTTTTATATTTAGATTTTTGTGAAGAATGATTGTTTAAGATTCCAAATAACCATTAAACAACATAAAATAATTTTACATAGATATTATTAAGTAGACTTATTTTAAGTTGTTTAATGATTAATTTAGTTTTCAAAGGGTCTTAACTTTTTATCTAATTAGTTTTAAGTAATCCGAATTGAATGGACATAAGAAAGATGAAGAAATAGAGAAGGTTCTTAGCTGTGTGGGACAATGAATGGTGTCGAGTTTCCATGGCATGCAGATGAACATTCTGACACACAATGAATGGATCCTCTCATTCTCAACAGTTGCTACCCATGCAAACAAAGCTCATTTTTTTAGTCAACCCTCTCACTTCCAATTAATACTGTTTCCGCGTTTTCAAAATTTACAATAACTTCTAATGCAAGTTACTTGAGCTTTTAATTTCAAACTAGAATCAGGATTTATCTACAGAAAAGAAGAAAAAGAAACTCAAAACCTACGATGATGATGAGACTAATGAAATATCAAGACAGTGTGTTATTTATTAGTGTACATTCCAAAAGAATGTACTTAACAGGCCTGCCAAAAGTTACAAGAAGTTCCAACTTGAACACTTTTACACCAGAAAAAGGGGAGAAGAAGGAAACACAAATACAAATAACATTGAAAACACAACAAAAAACAGAAACCTCAAAAGTAAATTAAGGAAACAATATAACAACTTGAAGCTGACAATACATTACAAGCAAATCAAAGGGTACCACTGTGTTACCAGAAACAACATGCAAAAAGGCTATATCTAGCCTATAACAAATATTGGCAGGCCTAGAGTAATAATAAGAACATCCATGCAATTGCAAAGCCCTAGAATGATATCATGGATTGCAGTCCTGAAAGACATCAGCACCAATACCTCAACCCAAACCAGCCACTCCAGCACCAGCTCCACCTAATCCTCCACCAGCCCCACCCAAACCACCACCACCACCTCCTCCAACACCACCTACACCTCCCACACCACCTAAACCTCCCACACCTGCAGTACCACCACCTAAGCCTCCACCATTAGCACCACCTAGACCTCCAATACCCCCAGCACCACCTAAACCTCCCATCCCACCCAAACCTCCACCAGCACCACCTAAACCACCACCAGCACCACCTACACCTCCAACTCCACCACCAATGCCATGGAAGCCACCAATGCCAGCACCACCACCAATGCCATGGAAGCCACCGATTCCAGCACCACCACCGATGCCATGGAAGCCACCTATTCCAGCACCACCACCAATGCCACCAGACTTCCCAATCCCTCCACCAATTCCCCCAAACTTTCCAATCCCTCCACCAACCCCACCACCGATTCCACCAACCTTGCCTATCCCTCCACCGACCCCACCACCAATTCCACCAAACTTTCCAATCCCTCCACCAATCCCACCACCAATTCCACCAACCTTGCCTATCCCTCCACCGATCCCACCACCAGCTCCACCAACCTTTCCCACCCCCCCTGCGCCACCAACAAAACCAACCATCCCAGCAAATCCACCAACCCCACCAACCAAAAAGTTTTTCTTGTCACCCACACCATTTCTGGTTGAAGACTCTGCATGTGGTGCACTTGCATGCACACCCAGAGTTTGCTGTTGACTTACATCACCACCATTGGGCACATTACGTGCAGCATTTGCATGCACTGTAACTAGCACAATCAACACAAGCAAGGCACCCCATTTTCCCATCTCTCTCTCTCACACTCCTCCCTCACTCACTCACACACTAAGCTTTCTGTGAAGAAAAATGTGTTAGTGTGGAAGAAATGCATGCAAAAGGGAGTATCTTATACCTGGAAAAGGTAGAGGACGGTTGAGAGCAATAAAAGATAGCAATGAAAAATAGTTATGACTTGTGAGTTCTCGAGAATTGAGAAATCTTAAATATTTTGTGTATCAGAAAGGTAGGTAGAATCAAAAGAAGAGAAAATTTAAGAATGTCATGTGCACTAGTTATTGCCACGAGATTGTCAACCGATATACACCGGACCGCCCGGTTCTAAGAAATGTATTGTTTTTAATAATTAAGAATGAATGACAAAATTATTCAATTTTATTGACAGTGTATTGTAACAGTATATCATTCGTCATCATTGTGATTTTAGTATATGTATTTGTGTCATGTCGAACAAAAATTACCATAATTCTTATCACAATAAAAAACACACTTATGAAAACTTATCATGATAGAAATAATTACAAAAAGAAAAAGAAAAAATGTGCCTCAAAATCAACTATAAAAAAATTGTATCCCCATTAGTATAGATTATATTATAATGGTACTATTCATTTTAAATTATATAAAATTATTTCAACTCAATTTATCTTAAGGTTTATTGGTTGGTAGAAAAAAGGAGTATGAAAAATGATAAGTGTAGGAAAGAAAAAACTTGTTAAATCAATTTATCTTAAGAATTTATTTATTTCCCAATTAATTGAACAACACTTTTCTTTTAATGCCATTTCTCATAAATCCAATTCTTGAAACTTCATAAATATTGGACCAATTTCTTTGTTGATATCTATGGAGGATTGAAAGGTGGAAGAAACTACGCATAAATGGTTTTCGTTTTTCTATTATTTGGAGGTATGAAGAATGCGGATTCTTATTTTAATTTATGGAAGACACGAAAATACAGTCAAGATACTCGGTCAAACTTGAAAACACTTTCTGTTTATAAGGTTGAACATTATTTTTATTTTTATTTTTTTGCTTTAAAATTAAGATTACATTGTCTATTTATTGGGTAACAAATCTTTATTTTTTATAAATTTGAAACCAAATGATAGAAAAACAATCAAAGATTTATAATTTATTGTTTTCAATTCTATACATACGTCAAATTTTTAAAATTTAAATAATTAAAATATAAATTCTTAATCTATTATATATTTAATTTACTATTATATCATATTTTCATTAAAAGGGTACAATTTTACATTTATATTTGCATCTCGTAAAGTAATTAATTTTATATATATATATATATATATATATATATATATATATATATATATAATAATGTCGAGTAACATAAGAAATAAAATTTAATGTCATAAAGTTTTAGTATCAATCTCTTACGTGAATTTGACTTATGTCTCATTGGTATTATTAGGGATGACAATTAGACACATGTCATGGGACCGATGCATCTTCGTCCGAAGTTGACGAGAAAAAATTGAGTTGACTAAGGGTATAGGGCAAATTTGAATTTTTTTCGACCTTTTAACGGAGATGAGTAATATAATCTTCACCCCGACTCCTTACGTCCCGCCTTTATATTTAAATTTAAATTATAAAATTTTAATATTTTAAAAATATTTCATTTTCTTTCTAACATTATATATAATATTATTATATTTATTTATTTATTTATTTTTACTTTTTTTTACCCACTTTTCACTTATTTGTCTTTTTCAATTTCTTAAATTATATAATTTTCTTTTTCCTATCCTTGGCTTCTTCACTTTTTTTTTTTCAATTTCTTCAATCAATTTAGTTATTCTAATCTATTCAATGAATTTGACGTGAAGTTATTTTTTTTATCATTTTTAAATATTTTACGTCAATATTAATAATAACTAATATTATTTTATTTATAATTTATCTTTATTAAATTTTATTATATTATATTTTTTTCATTTTATTATCTTTATTGGTTATATATTAAAATTTATTAATAAAATAATTGTATTTTGAAATATTAAAAAAATTATTAATTAAAAATTCTATCTGAACTAATTAAATAAAAATTAACTTATTAAATATTTTATCATAAATTATATATTTTATATTTTTAAATTACAACTTAAAAATAATTAATTTATATATATATATATAACTAAATATTTAAATATAATATTATAAATATATAATCATTGTAATATAATACTAATAATAGTAATATTATAAATATTTTATATTTATGTAAAGAAAAAAATGACTAAATATTTATATATATATATATATATTAGTATAAATATAATAAATTAAAGTATATACTTAGTTAATAATAATAATTACACATTATAAAATTATAAATATTTATTTTTATAAAAAATATATAATTAATCTATTATAAATAAAAAATTAAAAAAATATATGAAACGATACTGGTTAGAGAGAAAAAAATTATCGTAGATGAAAACTTAATTTATAATAAATGAGGAACGAGGACGGAAATAAGAACAATTAAAAAAGTAGAGATGGGATGCAAAAAGAAAACTCACCCACCCTATTTGTTGCATGTTTAGTAGGTGTTGTCTTTCCCTAATAAATAATTTCGAAAGACCTAAAAAAAAAATATATATATATATATATATATATATATATATATATATATATAATTTTAATAAAATTATATTGGTATGTTATGTTCTTAATTATTTATTTAAAATAATTTTGTGAAATGAATGAAATGTTACGACTTAGTATTAAATTTATATAAAAAATATTATTGCCAATAAAAAAATATAATAACCATAATTTCAATTATTTTATTTCAGATTAAATATAATTGATACGTACCCTTAAATTCAATTGCACAGACAGTTATAATAATGTTAGAATTTTCAATAAAAATAAAATAATTTCAGAATATATATATATATATATATATATATATATATATATATATATATATATATGTTAAATAAAACTGTAATAAATATGAAAGATTACGTTTTAGTGCATATAATTGCAAACTTAACATTTCATGTTTCTACACAATCACTTTAAATGGGACAATTTATTATATTCTATTAATATTTATTTTTTCTCTTATTTTTTTTATTTCTTACCTTTATTATTATAGTTTTCTCATACCTGTCTTTCATTTTTTTTTCTCTTTAAATATTTTCTCACAACTTATCCAAACTAAAAAACTAATTAAATTTATTGAAAAAAATTATACTTCAACATAATTTAAAAAATATTTAAATATTTATTTTGAATAATATTATAATTTACTCTAAATCTAAATAAAATACATATTTTGTATTTAAATTATTTTAAACTAAATTAAATATTTTAAAAATTATAAATAATATGAACATCGATCAAATAATATATTGATTAATATAAAAAATAGTTGATTACATGAAATTCGATCCGTGTAAAAACAAAATGAAAAGTTAATTATTTATTAAAAAAACTATACTATAAGATGTTTATCATACAAAAATACATTATCTAATTAACTAAATAAATTTTTATAATAATTTTTAAATTATTTATCTTAGTTTAAAATATTTTAAAAAATATAAAACAATTTATTTTATTTTAAATGTATATTTCTTTCAGGTATATACTAAAAATCAATTTTATAAATAATATATTTTAAAAGAAAAATTATTCAAGTAAAATCTTCATCAATTAATTTATTAAAATAGATATGTTTACTATTTTTATGTAAGTTTTTTATTTTCTCTCTCTCTGTTCACTCATTGTTTTCCTTTTTTTGTTTCTATAAATCTCTTATTTTTCTCTATCCTCTTCACTTCTTTTTCTAATTAAAACTATTACGGTGAAATTTAATAAAAAAAATATGTTAAAGCAAATTTTTTAAAATCAATTGAAACTAAAACACATAAATTAATTATTTAAAATTATGATAATAATAAATATTTTTATTTATAACAGTAAATAATTTTATTTATGATGATGCAAATTATTAATTTAAAATTAATTTATCATAATAAATTAATTACTTGTCTAATTTAAAAAATATAAAATATTATAAGTTAAATTACATTTTTATTCAGTAATTTAATCTAGTTATACTCAAGTTGAATTACAATATTTATTAGATTAAGTAACTTTAAAAAATCTTTATTAAAAGTTTACTTTCAAATAAATATTTAACTTTTTTTATTAATGATTATAATATAACAATAATATCTGTAATATCTCAAATTTTGTATATAATATTTTTTAGGTTTAATATATTAAATTATATTATTTTTAGATAATTTAAATATTTTTATCATTTAGAAATAGTAAAAAAAAATTTTGTCAAATTTTAATCCATACAGAAAAACAAAAAGAGGGGAGAGAGAAAAAGAAAAATAAACATTAAAAAGGAATAAAAAGAAATAAACGAAAAGAGAAATAAAAAAATAAACAAGAAAAAAAATAATTATATTATGTTGAAATTTTTATTTTTATTGTTGATTTTTTTTTAGTAAATTTAGTCGGATAAATAAATTTATGTTATATTTAAGTTTTTTTAAAATATATTATTTATGTGATTGATTCTATAAACTAAACTATATTATTATTTAAAATATAAAATAAATTCATGAATATATATTAAATTATTTTAAAATATAATTTAGGAAAAAAAATAATTTACTTCCGAAAAATTAATTATAGAAAGAGAAAAAAAGAAAAGAATAAATATATATATGAGAAGAAAATATAATAAATTGATTTTTCTATAATTAAAATAAAATCAGGGAATGAATATTGACTTTTTATCATGCATAATTAAAGAATATATATCATATATATTATAGAAAAATCATTAAACATCTGATTCTAATTTGGTTATTATAATTAAGTATAGGGATTATGATTACTACTATATAAAGTTGAGAATACAACAAACTCAGAGTGTCTCTCCACAACTTTCAGAAGAAATTAAACATGGCTAAGTTTAATATCTTGGTGATTTTGTTCAAGTTTATCG